AGTAATGGGAAATTTTCATCTTTCACGTACCCGAGAAGCTGACACTTCACCTCTGCGATTGGGTGAATCCATCTGATTCCTGAGAGCCGGTGATTTAGAAACAGATTGATTTATCGGAGTATGGATGTTTGGATCTTGAGGAGGAGCGTTTTCGATGTCGGGCTTTGAAGATCTAGGGTTTGAGCTTGGTTTCAAGTGTGAGGATACGGATTTGGGAAGAAAACTCCATTTAGAGGAAGTGGGTAAGGTTCCTGCGATGCGATTGTCTGCCATGGCTTCCCAAATGAAACAGCTTGCGGGATCGAGAAAATGGGAGAGAGAGCGAGAGACGACGAAAGATTCAAAATTTGAAGAAGAGGGAATGATTAATGATAAAATTTGTTTGCTTTCTTTTCTTTTCTATTCAAAATTTCAAACCTCATCATTGGATTCGGATCTACTTTAAACGACCGTTGTAGGAGTTTCTTTTCATTTCCACGATTTGTTTTTTTTTTTTTTTTTTTTTTAAACAATCACTTAGGTGAGAGATAATAGTTGATACAGTTAAAAAGGTTTGAAGAAAAAAACTATAGAAAAGTTCTTTAAGTTTAATACTCTCGTTGAACAGAAAATTGATCATGATTTGGTGATAAATGATAGAATTAGGATTTATCCAAACCACTCTGTGTGATCACTCACTCAAACACTAGTATCTTGCACTTTCTACTTGCTAAAATGCAATTTTTGCAATCTCTTTGATATTTTATCAGAATGTGTGACTTTCAAATACAACAAACATAACAAATGAAGTTGAACACATCATAGGAAATCAAAGTCCAACAAGTCACCAACTCGGACTCTGCAGATTAAAAGATTCGAAAAACACGAGTAAAAGAAGAAGGAAGTTGTATAAAACAGAAGAAAGCAAACTTGGTACACATGTCTCAAACTGAGTATTATTAGGAACTGGGAATCTGGGTTCGAGGAACTGGAGTGCACTTAAGCGGGTGAACCATGGTTAGGCTCAGTCCTCCATACGTCTCTTCCATGTTGACCTTATCTCCGTTGATTTTCCAGTCAAAGCACTGCACCATCACTCCTATATTGCGGCTCCAACAAATATGTAAGCTAGATTTACTTCAGGACATCCTCTCCTTCCCCGCCAAAAGGAAGGTTCTTAAGTGCTTGCTCTTTCTCGTCTTCTTGCCCTGATCTTGAACAACTTAGAAACCTCTCTGGATTAAACTCATCAGGATCTTCCCAAGAATCAAGATCTCTCATCACAGCATAAGCATTAATAATAAGTGGTGTCTTCTCCGGTATATAGAACCCTTTGATCTCACATCTTTCTTGGAAAGTCCTTATCAAAAGGGGCGCTGGAGGGTGCAATCTTAGACCTTCTTTAACTACCGCTTGCAAGTAAGGGAGATTCAGTAGATCTGTTTCTTGAATAAACCTTGTTTTCCCTACAACGGAATCCATTTCTTCTCTCAGTCTCTCAAGAACGTCAGGGTTATTAATGATCTCGGCCATTGCCCATTGTGTTGTTTGTACCGAGCTATCAGTGCCTCCTACGAAAATCTCCTGCATTGAAAAGACTCAGAACAATTATAAGTAATTTTTTTTGTTCGGATCCTTCCCATATGAATCTGACATGATGAGGAACATTTACCACAAAAAGTGACTTGATATGATTCCTAGTGATCTTGTACTCTGCGTTTTCGTCTCCATAAGCTGCCAACAACACGTCCATCATATCCATACCTTGATGCTCCTCATACAGTTTGTCTTTGTGTTCCATAATAAGCCTCTCTAGCAGCTCATCGAATCTGTCGGAAACACCCATTATCTCCTTCTTGAATAGTGGGATCCGAAGCTTCTCAAGCGGTCTGCGCAATGTAGACGCCAAGAAAATCTTCTTCACCAAGGAATATGATTCACCCACCAAGCCCCTGACTATCTCTGCCTCATTATTCTTCTCTGAAAAACTCCTTCCCATGCTCATTCTGCATAAGATGTTGTTCATGAGCATCGCCGATTCCTTAGCGATCTCAATGATCTCATTCTTCCTCGCCTTATCGAGAATCCTCCCGTAAAACCGCTCTAGCTCTTCAGCACGAAAACCACACGACTGCTACAGCACATGTGGTCGGAGCAACTTAGTGACCAAGATCTTCTTCATGAACTTCCAGTAATCTCCATAGGGAGCGTAAAAGAAGCTAGAAGATCCAAACAAGAGGGACTCATCAATCGCAGCGACACCGCGAGAGGAGACGCTCACATCATGGGCCTTAAAGATCTCGTAGGCCACTGAAGCCGAGGAAACAAGGATGACGGGGACATAAAAGATCCGGAGATGGAGGAGAGGTCCATATTTGGAGGAGAGTTTTTGTAAAGACTTGTGCGCTAGAGAAGAGAGGAGATGGTGAAGATGGCCGATGATCGGAAGAGACGGAGGGCTGGGAGGCAGATCACAGCCAACTCGTGAGCTCTTTGGTTTCCTGTAGAAGAGAAAGTAACAGAGGAGTGAAACGAGACACAAGAGGAAGAAAATGAAGCAGTTTTGATAGTCAACTATGATCATTGCTGCCATTGTTCCTCGAAGTGGAGAGGCTGATGAATCCTAATCAAGAATCAGTTAATATAATGTCTAGCAAACCATGCTTTTGTTTACAAGATTTAAAAAGTATTACTTTTGGAAGACCGTGAGATAATGTATGACCAACGAGGCAACCATGCTGTGTTTATTATATTAACAAGATGTTTTCCGTTTTAAAGAACGTTAAAGAGTGGAAAGCTCAGGTTTATTAAAAATTTCTTAATAGTATTATAAGTTCATTAATAATCTTATAACATAGTCTATTGACTCACATAGATGCAAGAGATTCTTCCTCTATTTCCGTTCAAACATGTTTACTATGTATAAACGATCTATAAGTAGAACAAACAAAGTCTATTGTTCTTTGATCTCCTAAGATCTTGAACCAGGTTAGTATTCTAGTTATGCAAACTCCCAAAAGCCATGAGAAAGCACACATTCCAGATTCTCAAGTAAGAAGATTGGCACAATACTATATATCACCAAAGTCAAAACCTTTCTACTCTAATGAACATAACCAAAACCATAGTTTTTCCTTCATCTAAAATCCCACAAATATTACAAAACCCCTCACAGAAGATACCTTTTTAGCTCGAAGGTTTCAGGAAAGCCTTGATAGCACTCAAGTTTAGCCCTCCAATGGCCACGTCCATGTTAGCCTTCTCCAATTACAGTTGCTTTCTTGCAGAGATGCAAGATGTTCTTTAAGTTCAACGTCCAAAACCTGTTTGATACACATAACAAGCAATCTATAAGTGAAGGAAAACCTCAGAAAAAAAAAACTACTCTTACTAAACCAAGTAAGTTTTCTGGTTATGTAAAGAGTGAACTGCCAAATATGTTGAGAAACAGAGAATAATCTTGTTGTATGTAATGTAACTCACAAGGCCTAAACACCAAGTTTGGTTACAAAGACATGGTCAAATATGCCTAAACACTAACAATACATAATGTGATCCATAAACTCACCGATGAGAGGTTTTGTTTTGTTGCAGGGATTGCTCCATTTGATATAAAACGCCAAGTAACTAACCAAACCCTACACGGACGAAATTTGACTGCTTTCTCACATGAATACAGTCAATTTCAGACATGGGTTAGTCCTCGAGGTAGGTCTGGCATAATATCCGAACCCGAAGAACCGAACCGAACTCGACCTGAAAAACTCGATCCGAACCCACACCCAAAGTTTTAAAATACCCGAACGGGTTCTAAACTTCACAACCCGAAAATCCGAACCCGAACCTGAACTCGAACAAGTACCCGAACATATCCGAAATATAAATACATAGATATAATATATTAGTAATATTTATACTTGTAATAACCTAAGTGTCTAAATTATTCGGATATTAAGATATTTTTTATTGTTTTAGCTATTTTTGGTTAGATTCAGGTATAAAATACTTCAAATATATAGATTTTTGAGTATTTTCAATACTTTGCATATAATCGGATACAAATTTTTTAATATTTGGATACTTTGGGTAAACCCGAATCCGAACCCGAAATACCCGATCCGAACCCGAAGTTTTAAAATATCCGAACGGGTCTTAGTTTTCTAAACCCGAAAAACCTGAACCCGAAAAACCCGACCCGAACCCGATCCGAATATCCGAACGCCCAGGCCTACCTCGAGGCATGAGAATCGGCGTTTGAATCCATCAGGGAAAGAAATAGACCTAAAATTCAACGATTGCAAGGTGAGCCAAATAAAGAGAAAAGATATAGAAGATCAAAATCAGTGAAGTGAATCAATGAACAACTGTTACCGGAGAAGAAGAATAGAAACTGATGGGTTCTTTGCTCTGATCTTGATGCCATTGCAGGAGAAACACACAATTGAGAGAGAAGAAAGGAGGACAAAACACAAAATGCACTGTTTTACGGTTTCTTACAGTAAACCGGAGATAAGGCCAAACTGAACTAAACCAAGAGTGACCAATGAACCGGGAAACACGTGTAATCGTAAAATCAGATGTCGGCCAAAATGATATTTTTCGTTTTACATCAAAATCTCATTATTTTATTCAATAAGTTAACGATCAAATCAATCACTTGCATAAGTCAATTAGTAGGGTATCTATAATGATCTTAGCATGCATATCTATGGATATATTTTTCTTTTTACATCAAAATCTCTTTATTTTATTAAGTCGGTTCTAATAGAGTGGTCATGATCAATTCACACCGGAACCTGAGAGTTTATATGGAAAAATGATAAACTCTCTTTTGGTGCATAGTCAGAAGTCATTTCACTCTCCTACAGTTACTATATGCCAAATTAAACCGATTTATCAATACTATAATTTTAATTTTTTAAAAAAATCAAATATGAGTATAGCCCACAGCCCCACACCAAATAACTCACAACGACAAAAAAAGGGTTCACCTGTCGCAAGATGGAAGCTTTGAAAATTGAAATATATACAAGAGAAGATATGATGGGCTGTTCCAATGGCACCGACGCGACGATGCACATGAAACATGAGAGTTCCTACATTTTTGCTCCTTAAATATTTTAAAGGGTCTTCGAATCTTTAGGAATATCGGTTCTTGAAAAAATGGGTAGCTTGGGACAAATTTTGAGACACCCAGATGAGATATATCTACTGCTCAAGTTGAAGAGGGAGATTAAGAAAGCTCAGAAGCAGATCCCACCAGGGAAACACTGGAGAATCTGCTATTCCTTACTCCACAATGTTTCTACAAGCTTCTCTTACGTCATTCACCAACTCCGGACCGAGCTTCGAAACCCCGTAATGCCTTGGCATCTTACATCACTTTTGTTTCTAACATGAACTTTAACTTATTTCCTTTACTTTTTGTAGATGTGTGTGTTCTACTTGGTTCTTCGAGCTCTTGATACCGTCGGTTAGTCTCCTAAGCATATGCAAATTTAATTTCCATATCTGAAAACATTATCTAGTTAACATGATGAGGCATGTAGAATTTGCTATTTGGTGGTGGAATCTCATTCTTAGAAGGTTAAAAACATTTGGAGGCTTGGAGCTTTGTTTATCGTGTTTACTTCTAAGCTTTTGGATTTTTATTATTTTTCTTTAAATGTTGTATATTTTAACTAGTGACTATACAATTGGTCATTGCTTTTTTTTTTGGTGAAAACAATTCCATAGCTATTTTATTTTTGTCAACTAGAAGATAAATTAAAAGCCATTGTGATACAGAGGATGACACAAGCATATCAAAGGAGGTCAAGCTTCCCATCCTGACAGATTTCCACCGTCGCATATATGATCGTGACTGGCACTTTTCGTGTAAGTCAGAAAAGAGTCTCTCTGTAGCATCTTCATTCTTTTTAGTATTTGAGTGTTAGTTTCATCTCTCCATCTAAATTTAGGTGGTAGGAACGAGTTCAAAGTTCTAATGGACCAATTCCACCATGTGTCTTCGGCTTTTCTCCAACTTGAAAGAGGGTTAGTTCTATTATGTGCAATAGGCAAATTTGTTATAATTAATTAAATTTAGTTCTCTTTTATCATTTGACTTTCTAAATTTTTTTGACTAATTTATGTTATTTTATTTTTTTGTACAGGTATCAAGAAGTTATTGAGGATATTACAAAAAGAATGGGTGCAGGAATGGCCAAGTTCATTTGCCAGGAGGTTTTTGATACAAAACTTATTAATATATATGGTTCGTGAAACAATTTGTGCACTGATCGCAATCTTCTGATCTACTACCTGACAGGTAGAAACAATGGAGGACCACACTGAATATTGCTACTATGTTGCTGGACTTTTGGGTTTTGGCCTGTCTAAACTCTTCCTCGCTTCGGGATTAGAAGTTTTAACTCCAGATTGGGAACAACTTTCCAATTCAATGGGCTTATTTCTACATGTAGAACACGTGTTAAACGTTTCTTCCTCGAATATATTGCAACATTTGTTATCAAATAACTTTAAACATTATTTGCAGAAAACACACATTATCAAAGATTATCTTGAGGACATTAATGAGATACCAGAGCCACGCAAGTTCTGGCCTCGCCAGATTTGGAGCAAATATGTTGGCAAGCTTGAGGACTTCAAAGATGAGGAGAACTCGACCAAAGCAGTGCAATGCTTAAATTATATGGTCACCGATGCATTGATTCATATTGAAGATTGCTTTAAGTACATGGCTGCTTTGCGTGATCCTACCATATTTCGGTTTTGTGCCATCCCTCAGGTTAGAGAAATATATTATCACATTTTCCAAATTTTTTAATTTCCTCGTTAAAAAGTGTTTAGATTGTTTTTCCCGTTATATATTTAACTGATTTCAGACATTCATGTACAAAGTTATTATATATACTCTACTCTAAAACTTGCCTCTACATTGATGTAAAATTGTAAATGTGTTTCCCTGATCAGATTATGGCGATTGGAACACTTTCATTATGCTATGACAATGTACAAGTCTTTAGAGGCGTTGTGAAAGTGAGGCGAGGTAATATATATGTGTATCTAACCAAGAACGTGTAGACCAATGGTTTGATATTTTGTTGACGAAATTATTATATTTAGGTATAACTGCTAAAGTCATGGATCGCACAAAAACAATGGATGATGTCTATGGCGCTTTCTATGATTATTCTTGCATGTTGAAAGCAAAGGTATGTTAGTATATATATTTACTCTCAATTGTTATTTAAAAACGAATCATGTTTATCTTATTTGTACGTACATAGGTCGATAAGAAGGATCCAAATGCCACAGAGACTCTACACCGACTTGAAGTTGTCCTGAAACTCTGTAGAGACATTGGGGTTCTTCAGAAGAGGTAATTATTTTCTTCGTATCTTCTCGTTCTATTAGTAAGTTCTCATGAAGATTGTTTTATGCCCAGTCGCCTTTTTGTTGTTCCACAGCCTGCTACGTTTTTGGTTTGTAATGATAACTGCTAATGAATCTTTATCTCTCTTACATTCAGAAATTCCTTGGTTAACGACGGAGCACAATCAAAACCTCTCCTTGTAAGATAAATTTTGCCACAGCTTCAATAAATATATATGTATATTATAAATCTCATTTTTGAAATACACGACTTACTCTCTTCTCTACTCGGAAATGTAGGTTGTAATGCTGCTAGTGCTTCTATTTGCTATAGTCTTTGCGTATCTCAGAGCAAACCGAGTGATGGAAATAAATAACGCAAGTGACCCGGATATCATCATGAACACGGTTTCTAGGTTCTTCAGCAATTGATGATATTTGTTCCTTTTTATATATTCACCCTATCTCTGTTTCCTTTCCCTGTCTTTTACATAAATGAATTCATGATAGTGTTGAACTTGGTCTGGTTTGAATCACTTGTTAAGCCAATGTTCCTCATGGATGTGTTTTCCAAGAGGGGCCGGGTAGATGAACCTCATGGAAGAGTTGTGTTTAAGCATGCGTACGTGCTTGACGACATGAGTTTATGTGTTGATCAATCTTATCTTTTCTGGCAAATTTAAGGTAAAACGTCAAAATAAATCTCTATCTATCCAAGTGACTAGCTAGCTAACTAACCCTAACTAATTGATGACAGCTATCTGACATTAATCAACAACATGTTTCTATCTCTGACACTAAACATGAAACAAAACATGAAAAGGTGAAATGATGGAAAGCTGAAGTCTTCATTTAAGTTCACCGCGACACTGCATGTACGGGGTTCGAGCAACAGGAATGCACTTAAGGGGATGAGCCATGGTCAAGACCAGTGCTCCACGAGCCTCTTCCATGTTAACTTTATCTCCTTTGATTTTCCAATCAAAGCACTGTACCATCACTCCAATCGCCGTTCCAACAAGAATGTAAGCTAGATTTACTCCAGGACAGCCTCTTCTTCCGCTACCAAAAGGAATGTACTTAAGTCCATGCTCTCTCTCCTCTTCTTTTCCTGAACCTAGAAACCTCTCTGGCTTAAACTCATTGGGCTCTTCCCAAGTATCAGGATCTCTCATCATAGCATAAGCATTAACAACAAGTGGTGTGTTCTGGGGTACATAAAATCCTCCGACCCTACACCCTTCTCGAGCTGTCCTTGCAAAGAGAGGCCCGGGAGGGTGCAATCTCAGTCCTTCCTTAACAATAGCTTGCAAATATGGTAGGCTTGGTAAATCTGTTTCTTGAACCAACCTTGTTCTCCCTACAACAGAATCGATTTCTTCTCTTAATTTATCAAGAATCGCAGGCTTGTTAATTATCTCTGCCATTGTCCACTGTGTTGCATGTCTTGAAGTGTCGGTGCCTGCAACGACAAGATCCTGCATTTGAAAAAGTTTCTTAATTAGACCGGACATTTAACGGTGTTCTTTTGGAATTAGACCGGACATTTAACGGTGTTCTTTTGGATTACATACGAATCTGCCTACTGAGATACACCATTACCACGAACAACGACTTAATGTGGTTCCTAGTGATCTTACACTCTGCATTTTTGTCTCGGTAAGCTGCTCCAAGTTTCTCTTCGTATTCCTCAAGAATCCTCTCCAGCACTTCGTTGAATCTGCAAGAAACACCCATTATCTCCTTTTTGAACAGTGATATTCCGAGCTTCTTAAGGTGCCTGTGCAACATGTTTGCCATAAAGATCTTCTTTGTCAAGGCAGTCGATTCGGTCACCAAGCCTCTGACTCTCTCTGCCTCACCATTTTCCTCAGAACAACTCCTCCCCATAAACATCTTGCAGATGCTGTTATTAATGAGTTTCATTGCTTCCTTACCAATCTCAATGCTCTCGTTCTTCCTTGCCTTATCAAGAAGGTGCTTGTAAAACCGTTCTAGCTCATCTGCACGGATGCCTCGTGACCGCTGGAGTGCCTGCGGTCCGAGCAGCTTCGTGACCATTAGCTTTTTCATGAACTTCCAATAATTGCCATAAGGAGCGGTGAAAAAGCCAGAAGATCCAACCAAGAGGGACTCTTTGACAGGAGGGTTGCCGCGAAAAGAGATGTTCACATCATGTGCCCTGAAGATCTCGTATGCTACAGAAGCCGAGGAAACAAAGATTACAGGGACATTGAAGATACGGAGATGGAGGAAAGGTCCATACTTGGAGGAGAGTTTCTGTAAGGACTTGTGGGTTAGAGTAGAGAGGAGCAGGTGAAGATGACCAATGATTGGCAGAGAAGGAGGGCTTGGAGGCAAATCAAACCCACCTTGTGAGTCCTTTGGTTTCTTGAAGAAGAGAGGGTAAAAGAGGAGTGAAAAGAAGCAGAGGAGGACAAATATGAAGTAGTTTTGATATTCAATGATTACTGCCATTGTTGCTCAAAACGATGAGGCAGATGAAACAGAGTCTCCTCTTATCAACAATCTATGATGCTTTTAAGCAAAATGTTTTCTTTCTTGAAGAACGTAAATAATGGAAAGTTTTTAACAAGAAACGTTTCGGATCAGAAGTTCCTTGACACTCGTGATCATAATGATCATTCAATAAGTGAAAAAAGAATCTTCAAAAACCCAACGAACTGACACCTAAGGTTACACGTGGATCTTATGAGTCTTGTAAATAAGAAATGTGAAATATGCAGATTTTGTATCAATAAATATGTAATGTTTCAAGTCTCTGACATAAGAAACGCTCAATTAGCAAGATAAGTATCTCTCTATTGGAAAGTGCACTCAAGTCTGGATTACTGATAGTATAACTCATATTAGTAGCTAGACTAAACTAACCATCCAAGGAAGGTCAGTCACCAAAGACCAAACATTTCCAAGTCCTAAAATGTAAAGGCTTGCAATTTCTGAAAACTTACAGGGGTTTTTGTCACTTGATCAGTTGGTAATGACTGAACATCAAAGCCGACATCTCCGGATTTGTTCTTCATCCGTAATCCCTACACAGACGAAAGATCTTCAATGCAACCACATATATCTGGTGCTGCTTAGGTCAGTGTTAATACCAAAAAACAAACAATTCTCTTCCCTCAAAACGCAAAGAAATTTTATCAAAGCAAAAATCTCCATTTTCCTCTTTCATGACCTGAATCTACCCCATGAAAACAAACACTACTTTATAACCAACGAACTTCTTTAATCATATCACTTTAAAGAAATTAGCTTCTAGGACATCTCAAAATTTATCAAAAGCTATCAGAACAATCAAATTCCAGATTCTCAAGATAGAAGTAGACTGCCACTGTGCCGTAACCATTCATAAGCAGCTCGACTGCAACCAATTAAGAATCAAACCAAGCCCCCATAACCATAAAGAGTCGCAATTTCTGAAATTGCAGTATTCTTTGTTTGTCACTTTATCAGTTAGTATTGATTAATAGAACCTTACACTTAATCTCACACAGGATCAACCAAGTATGACATGTAATTATAATTCAAATAGCTAATCAATGTGATAACTCCCGAGGCATGAGAAGTGAATTTGAATATGATCTAGACTAAGAACAACATGCATCGCGAAGTTAATAGAATTGAACTGCTCTATGACACCAAATCGAATCAGATAAAAAAGCATCTACCTAGGCTCACCAATCTTAACATGAACAAAAGAGTGGGAGGAAACAAAAGACTGAACCAACCGAGACATAAAACCACATACGTCAAGCAGATAGAAGAATCAAACTGCTCTATGTAACGGAATTGAATTCGAGAAGGTGAAAAATGGAAGATAAAGTCAGATTATATAAACCAACAATAGACAAGTTTCTACTTTATTTAATATTTCTATTCAGAAAAGGGAAAATTCCATACAAAATCATGTACCCATACAGTTTATAGTTTCATACTGATACAGTAAACCACAATGTAACAAATAAACCAGGAAAGAAAAACAAACCAGTAGTTAACCGATAGTTTTCCTTACCAGTTTAACGAAATTCAGGACCCTTCTATGTCTGCGAGTTCAGTAACATGATGCTACTAACAACTGAAAATTACGAACTTGGCATCTGCAGATTAGCAGCAAGTAGAGGCTGGCTTCGAGGAACAGGAGTGCACTTCAGGGGATGAGCCATGGTTAAGTTTAATCCCCCAGCCTCATCCATGTTAACCTTGTCTCCTTTGATTCTCCAGTCAAAGCACTGCACCATCAATCCAACTGCGGTTCCAATAAAGATATAACCCAGATTTGAGCCAGGACAACCTCTCCTTCCACTCCCGAAAGGAATGTACTTAAGCGCTTGCTCTCTTCTTTCCTCGTCTTGCCCTAATCTTGAAGAAGCTAGAAACCTCTCTGGTTTAAACTCCTCAGGGTCTTCCCATACATTCGCATCTCTCATCATAACATAAGCATTACCAATAAGTGTTGTCTTCTCTGGTACGTAGAAACCTCCAATCTTACACCCTTCTTGGAACGTCCTAACAAAGAGAGGCAATGGCGGGTGCAATCTCAGTCCTTCCTTAATCACCGCTTGCAAATAGGGGAGCTTTGGTAGATCAGTTTCTCGAATCATCCTTGTTTTTCCTACCACAAAATCAATTTCTTCTCTCAATCTCTCAAGAATCTTGGGGTTGTTAATGATCTCTGCCATTGTCCACTGTATTGATTGCGCCGAGGTGTCAGTACCCGCAAAGAAAAGCTCCTGCAATTTCAAAACGTTTTCTAGTAGGAACAATTTTGATCCTAAAATGAAATCAAAATGCCTTTTCTAACCAATGTCAACGTTTTCTAGCTTAATGAGAGGAACTTTTACCACGAAAAATGCCTTGATGTGGTTCCTGGTGATTTTATGCTCTGCGTTTTCATCTCCATAAGCTGCCAACAACACGTCCACCATGTCCCTATCTTGATGCTCGTCCAGTTTCTGTTCATGTTCCACAAGAACCCTCTCCAGGACCTCATCGAAGCTGTTGGAAACAGACATGATCTCCTTTTTGAAAAGAGAGATTCCAAGCTTCTCAAGGGGTTTCTGCAGCAAAGTTGCAAACAAAACCTTCTTTGTCAAGCCATCTAACTCGGTAACCAGTCCCCTGACTCTCTCAGCCTCACCATTCTCCTCTGAAAAACTTCTCCCAATGCTCATCCTCCAGAGGCTGTTAATACTGAGCTTCGTTGCTTCCTTACCAATCTCAACACTCTTCTTCTTTATCGCCTTATCAAGCAGGCTTGAGTGAAACCGCTCAAGCTCATCTGCACGGATGCCTCGTGACCGCTCAAGTGCCTGCGGTCCAAGCAGCTTAGTAGCCAGGAGCTTCTTCATGAACTTAAAGTAATCTCCATAAGGAGCACTACCAAAGACAGAAGATCCAATCAAGCGGGAATCGTCAATTGAAGGGTTATCACGAGACGAGATGTTCAAGTCATGAACCTTAAAGATCTCGTAGGCCATAGAAGCCGAGGAGACGATGACTACAGGGAAGTTGAAGACGCGGAGATGAAGAAGAGGTCCATACTTGGATGAGAGTTTCTGTAAAGATTTGTGAGCTAGGGAAGAGAGGAGCAGGTGAACATGGCCTATAATCGGAAGAGATGGAGGGCTCGGAGGCAGTTCACATCCATAAGCGACAAGCCTTGATTTCTTAGGTTTCTTGAAGATGAGATAGTAGAAGAGGAGTGAGAAGAGGCATAAGAGGATAAATATGAAGCAGGTTGGGAAGTCAACGATGATCGCTGCCATTGTTGCTCGAAGTGACAAGGTAAATGAAACCAGAGTATTATTGTGTCAAGAATCTACGAATAGGATGTATGATCTATAATAATATTGTTTATACTTAAAATATAATATATTTTAGGAAGAACGTAAAATGAAGGGAATCAAGTCTTTTTTAAGTATTATCTTTGGACACTTGTGGTTATATCTCGACCAGACTCCAAAGCTGCCTCAAAGCAGTGGCAGATAAAAGAATATCATGATTAGAAGTACAAAGCAAAATAATACTTTAAAAAACTCAAGTCTACAGTGGCTAACAATCTGGCAGGGAGCTAAGAAGCGGCAAAATATCACGACTGAAAGTGCATTCAAAGAAGACAATCACAAGCGCTGCAAAGTATTTACTGCAAAAATATCTCATTGATGACACCTTTAGGGTCCATGAACCTAATGGTTTTAGTGCAGGGAGGACTAAGGGATGTGATACCAAATTAACTCCCATTTATGCTTAACAGATAAAAGATCACGTCTTCTTTCAGAGAACACAATATGGCTTTTAAAATAACACTTATAAAGCTCAAGTTTACAGTGGCTAACCAGGGATTTCGAAGCTGGCATTGATAAGTTTATGATATCCCAAGACAGAACTGGAGAGGCTGAGATAAACCATTAGCTATAGCCCTCCTGAAGATGCTTTGCAAAACCGAGCCAAGTTTTTTACTGAAAATGATCCAAAATGACTTTAGCTTAAGAAAGATACCAAACTTTTTTCAAGTGGTTTAATTCCCAATCTACATTCTTGTCCTGGGAGACGAAAAAAAAATTGGATCTTGGAAGGTTCATGGAGAGTAACATTGCATAAAAGAACTTCTTTAATCAATAAATCTTGGAAAAGTCAGCATCCCAAGACATCATACTCTTTCAAAAGCTATCAATAAGCACATCATTCATGAGAAAGCTAATCTGCACCTAAGTACCTAACTGACAAGCTCCTAATAAATAATTTACCAAAGACCAAAACTTTCTAGTCCAATTCGAAGTTTCTGATAACCTATTGACAAAGAACAGCCTACACAAAGCAGACACTAGAATCGAAACGCTCTACGATACAGAATTGAACCAGCAAGTAAAAAATCAAAATCGACCTAAAATGCACCGAAAGAAAAGGAATCAGCGATTATGAATCGATCAACGACTGTACAAGTAGAAGGCAAACGAGATTTTGATGGGTTTCTTTGCTCTTTGATACAATTGCATCTCAAGAAATTCAGGCGACACTGGAGACAGAGAGAGAGAGAAAGAGACGACAGGACACAGCAGCGGGACATTTTTCTGATTTCATTTTCAGGACAATTATTTACGGTTCCGGGTTATAAACCATGGAAATCAAAATCAAACCAAATTTAAACCGGATTGAACCGAGAAACGTCTGTGAATAAGATGAAGAGAGAAACAGAGAGAATTTCATGGAAATCAGAAAGTGAAAGGTTGGGTTCGAGGAACAAGAGTGCACTCAAGAGGATGAGCCATGGTCAAGTTAAGTCCTCCAGCCTCATCCATTTTGACCTTATCTCCTTTGATGTTCAAGTCAAAACACTGCACCATTGTTCCTACTGCAGTTCCTATGATAATAGTTGCTAGATTTGATCCAGGACAGCCTCTCCTTCCACTTCCAAAAGCAATGTGCTTCAGTGCTCTTCTCTCCTCCTGATCTTGCCTTAGAAACCTCTCTGGCTTAAAATCATCAGGATCTTCCCAAGAAGTAGGATCTCTCATCACAGCATAAGCATTAACTACAAGTGTTGTCTTCTCCGGTATATAGAACTCTTTCATCTCACAACTTCTTTGAAACGTCCTTACCATTAGAGGCAATGGCGGGTGCAATCTTAGCCAGAACGTTAGGGTTGTTGATGATCTCGGCCATTGTCCACTGTATTGTTTGCGCTGAGGTAAAACCGAATCAATCTCTTCTCTCAGTCTCTCAAGAACGTTAGGATTGTTGATGATCTCTGCCATTACCCACTGTATTGTTTGCGCCGAGGTATCAGTGCCTCCAAGGAAAAGCTCCTGAAAGTTTCAAACGTTTCTTAGTCGGAATCTGTTTTTCCCTCCATAAGCTTCCAACAACACGTCCATCAAGTCCGTACCTTGATGTTCATTCCGTTTCTCTTCATGTTCCACAAGCATCTGCGTTTTCGTCTCCATAAGCTTCCAACAACACGTCCATCAAGTCCGTACCTTGATGTTCATTCCGTTTCTCTTCATGTTCCACAAGCATCCTCTCCAGCAGCTCATCAAAGCTGTTGGAAACATACATTATCTCCTTTTTGAACAGAGAGATTCCGAGCTTCTCAAGCGGCCAGCGCAATATGTTTACCAACAAAACCTTCGTCAAGCCATCTAACTCGGTAACCAAACCTCTAACTCTCTCAGCCTCACCACTCTCTTCTGAAAAACTCCTCCCCATGCTCATCCTGCATATGCTGTTGATACTGAGCTTCGTTGCTTCCTTACCAATCTCAACACTCTCTTTCTTAATCGCCTTATCTAGTAGGCTTCTATAAAACCGCTCTAGCTCATCCGCACGGATGCCTCTTGACCGCTCGAGTGCCTGTGGTCCCAGAAGCTTTGTAACCAAGAGCTTCTTCATGAACTTCCAATAGTCCCCATAAGGGGCGCCGACAAAGACAGAAGATCCGACCAAGAGAGACTCGTCGATTGGAGGGTTGTCGCGAGACGAGATGTTCAAGTCATGTGCCTTGAAGATATCGTAAGCCACAGAGGCCGAGGAGACGAGGACTACAGGGAAGTTGAAGATGCTGAGGTATAGGAGAGGTCCGTACTTGGCTGAGAGTTGCTGTAAAGATTTGTGGGCTAGAGAAGAGATGAGATGGTGAAGATGGCCAATGATCGGAAGAGACGGAGGGCTCTGAGGCAAATCACGGCCAACTTGTGAGTCCTTTAGTTTCTTGAACAAGAGAGAGTAACAGAGGAGTGAGAAGAAGCAGAGGAGGATGAAACTGAAACAGTTTTGAAAGTCAACAGTCATCATTGCTGCAATTGTTGCTCAAAGTGGGAAAGGTAGATGAAACAGAGTATTAACACATCTCAAGAAATTATACTCTGTTATAACGTATGATCTAAGGTACCTTTTTGTTGTTTATATTATTATATTAATTGAAGGAAATTTTTAGTCTTCCTTTAGTAATAATAATACTGTATAACGTATGTGAAGTATGACTACCAACTTCACTAGCATTGTTGCTTAAAGTGAAGAGGCAGTTGAAACCATTAATATAAAGTATGGCTACCATGCTCCTATTTGGAAGAACGTGAGATAGTGGACAAGTAGAACCTTGTTTATTAATAATAATATAAGCTCAGATCAAAAGTTTGACACTAGTGATCAAATTGATAATTAAATATTCTAAGGTGACAAAAGACGACTCACTGTGTGTTGTGAGGAATAGACAAGTTCGAGATTTATGACTCAGTGTAAGCAGTGACAGTCTTTTTGAATGCTTTTCTCGCAGAGATGCAAGAAGTTGGTCTCCTCTAGTCTCCTCTAGCACTATGGGAGTGATGAAGATACGAAGATGGAGGAGAGGTCCATACTTGGAGGAGAATTTCAAGACTTGTGGACTAGAGCAGATAGAATAAGGTGAAGATGGCTGATGATTGGCAAAGAAGGAGGGCTCGGAGGCAGATCACAGCCATAGGCGTCGCGTCTTGAGCTTGGTTTCCTGAAAAAGAGAGAGTAACAGAGGAGTGAGAAGAGACATAAGAGGATGAAGATGAAGCAGCTTTGAAATTCAGCGGTGATCATTGCTGCCAGTGTTGCTCAAATGAAGAAGAGGCAAATGACACATAATACTCTCTTATCAAGAATCATTAATCTAATGTATGGTGATTATTCAAGATTTGTTTTTGTTTTTTAAGTGATGGAAATGTTTATGGGAATATATTTCTATCACTTTCTTCGGATCCTTAGAATATAGATCACATGAATACATGATGACAAAGAGAGAAGAAAGGTCCAAGAGTACAGCTGTCAAAGACAGACAAGTCTGAACTACTGATAAGAACACAGAAAGTTACCATGTGAGATTATGGTTGAATAAAGAATTTGAAGGCTACCTGGCTTGGGGCTTGTGAGCTTGCAAGGCTGAGATAATTCCTAATTCAGTAGCTACGCCACCTGAAAACGTTTTTGCAGCGACCAAGCTCGTCAGAGGAACCAGCTTTTGCTGACACTAACTTAAGCCTGAAAACAATACAAAGCAGATACTAGAATCGAGAGGCTCTAGGGACAAAATGGAATCGGATAGGGAAACAATCAATCTAGAAATTTGATCAACGACATATAAAACGAAAAAAACAAAGGTTCATAGATTTTTGAAAAGGGCAAAAGAACAGCAAATGTAATTGACCGTCTTTGAAGATCATGTCTAGTGCAGAAGAAAACAAACTTCTTACGTGTTCCCAAGCTCAGTTTCAGGAACTAGGATTCTCGAGATTAGAATGAAAAGAAAAAGGTTGGATCCGAAGAACTGGAGTAATGTTTTTGTTTCTTGGAAAACCGTGTAGTACTGGAAATTATTTTGGTGATATACTCATTTTCTGCAATATACTCATATCTTCTTACGACAAGTCAAATTAATATCTCTATCAGTTTTGTTGGATTCTTGTAATGTAGATCACATGAAAAAGAAAGAGGAATTATTGATAAGAGAGAAACTTACACAATTGTTTACGGTTTCAAACATAAGCCAAACTAAAACAGAAAACTCAGACACAGTAATATAAAAGCATGGCTACCTAATTACTTAGCAAAGATTCATGAACTCCGATTCAGCGGATTCTAAGTTAAAGGGATTAGTGTTCGAGCAATAGGAATGATCTTAAGAGGATGAGCCATGGTCAAGCTCAGTCCTACAACTGCCTCTTCCATGTTAATTTTCTCTTCTTTGATTCTCCACTCAAATCCCTGTACCATCACTCCAATTGCAGTTCCTATAAAGATATATGCTAGATTTTCTCCCGGACAGCTTCTTCTTCCACTTCCGAAAGCAATGTACTTAATTGCTTGCTCTCTTCTATCCTCTTCCTGCTCTGATCTTGACAAATCTAGAAACCTCTCTGGCTTAAAATCATCAGGAAATTCCCAAGAATCAGAATCTCTCATCACAGCATAAGCATTAACCATAACTATTGTTTTTCCCGGTACATAAAACCCTCCCATCCTACACTCTTCTTGGGAGAACCTTCCAAAGAGAGGACCAGGAGGGTGCAGTCTTAGTCCTTCCTTAACCACCGCTTGCAAATAAGGAAGGTTTGGTAAATCAGTTTCTTGAATTAACCTTTTCTTTCCTACCACGGAATCAATTTCTCCTCTCAATCTCTCAAGAACATTAGGGTTGTTCATGATCTCCGCCATTGCCCACTGTGTTGTTTGCACCAAGGTGTCGGTGCCTGCAAATAAGAGATCCTGCAGTTGCAAAACGGTTTTTCTTAGGCAGAACAGTTATGCATTCTCAATGAAACTACCTGATGGGAGGAACATTTACCGCGAAAAATGACTTGATATGGTTCCTAGAGATCTTATACTCTGCAATTTTGCCCCGATAAGCTGCCAACAGCGCGTCCATTAAGTCTGTACCTTGATGATGCATGTCCAGTTTATCTTCATGTTCCACAAGGATCCTTTCGAGCAGCTCATCAAATCTGCTGGAAACATCCATCATTTCCTTTCTAAACAGTGAGACAACAAGCTTTTTAAACCCTGGACGCAACATGTTTGCCAATAAGATCTTCTTCGTCAAGCCATCTAACTCGGTAGCCAAAGCCCTGACTTTCTCCGCCTCACCATTCTCCTCTGAACAACTCCTCCCTATGATCAACTTGCAGATGATGTTGTTACTGAGTTTCAACGCTTCCGCACATATCTCCACGCTCTCTTTATTCATCGCTTTATCCAACAGGTTCTTGTAAAACCGATCTAGCTCATCTGCACGGACTCTTCGTGACCGCTCGAGTGCCTGGGCTCCAAGCAAGTTTGTAACCAGGAGCTTCTTCATGAACTTCCAGTAATCTCCATAGGGAGCAGATGTGAAGCTGAAAGATCCGGCAAAAAGGGAATCATCGGTCGAAGGGAAACCACGAGACGAGATGTTAACGTCGTGTTCCCTGAAGATCTCATAAGCAATTGATGCTGAGGAGATGAGGGCTACAGGGAAACTGAAGACGCGAAGATAGAGAATAGATCCGTACTTGATGGAGAGTTTCAGTAAAGATCTGTGGAGTAGAACAGAGATAAGAAGGTGAAGATGACCGATGATCGGAAGAGACGGAGGGCTCGGAGGTAAATCAAAGTGAAGTCGAGGTTCTTTTGGTTTCCTAAAGAAGAGAGAGTAACAGAGTAGCGAAAAGAGGCTTAAGAGGATAAAAATGAAGCAGTTTTGAAAGTCAACGATGATCATTGCTACTATAACTGCTCAAAGTGAAAGAAGGAGATAGACAGAGGATTCGCTAATCAAGAATCGACCATCCTCTGTATATAACTATATATTACATAACAATGATGTTACTTTTCATCTTGGTTACTAGTGTGGGACCAAGATAGTTCACCTTCTATCAATAAACATTTAATTCAAACTTTTAATATCATCCACTACTGGATTTATGGTTGACTCTTCAGAAAGAGACCAATAACACTGGAACAAACAAGAATAATGGAGGAATTGCAAGACATACCAAAACAGGGTAGCTTGACCATCTCCAATCTCACAGCAGATGTTGCCGCATTCATGAATTCACGTAGCTAATGAGAGTGACCCGGCTTTATAGAAACTAACTTCAGGCTGAAAAGCAGTAATAAACAAACATGTCAAGTGGTCAAAATCCCAATCCACCTACTTGTGTCCGGCCAAGCAAAATAATGGATGTTGGGAAGTCCATGTGTTGACCATAACTTTTGAAGAAATCAGCTTCCTAGACATGACAATCTCTCTCTGAAACGCTATCAGAAATCAGATTCAAGATTCTCAAGAAAAAGAAAAGTAAACTACCAAAACAATCACCAAAGAACAAAACTTTTTAGGGAACTCAGGGAGGGGGAGAAAGAAAATGAGAAAATTATTCTGATTTCATTCAAAGAAAGGAAATTTACGAATCAGTACACAATGCTTGTGATATGAATAGAATTCAATCTCCTTTATTTACCTCACAAAATCGGCAAGCACAACACAGAAACTATCACAACCAGTAACGGTTTTGTTCTAGAGAACTCTACACTCTACAAGACCAAACAGAAACTACTTGAAACCCTAGTCGTTTTTGCCTGCCTTGATCTTGCAGCTGGCAATTTCCATCCCCAATCCTAACCAGTAGGCGTTTGGATTACATGGCTTTCAAAGTTGTACTTAACCCTCCAATTTCCTTTGCTTCAAAGCCGAAAATTTTCATCTTTTTCCTTCAAAAACACACATCTGAAAGTCTCGTCGTTTCTGGGTATCAATCCTATCACCGTCACAGTAATCACCAAAAAAGCTTTCTCAAATCTTAGCATACAGAATCGGAGAAGAACAAAATCGACTTAAAATTCGCTGCTTTACAAGATTAATATGAACCGATTTAGGACTTAGACCGAAGAATAATTCACAATTATTTACGGTTCAGACAATAAACCAAACTAAATAAAAAAAGGTAAACAACTAAACCGGGAGACTTGGACACGGGAATTTTACGGTTTCATACACAAAACCGGGACTATTTATTTATTAAATATATAAACCAAAGCTTTAAAAAAAAAAGTAAATCGGGAGACTTGTATACAGAAACGAGAGGAGCTTGCTTGCTCAAAGGTCCCATCAACTCTGCTGATTAAGATTTAAAGGGTCTGAGGTTCGACCGACAGGAGTGAACTTAGGAGGATGAGCCATGGTCAAGGTCAATCCTTTGATTGATTCTTCCAAGTCAACTTTCGCTCCTTCGTTTCTCCACTCAAAACCCTGCACCATCATCCCTACAACATTTCCTAGAATGACATAAGCTAGATTTTCTCCTGGACAACCTCTCCTTCCGCCGCCGAATGGAATGTACTTGAGTGCTTTCTCTCTTCTCTCATCATCTTGCCTTGATCTTGAAGACGAAGCTAGAAGAAACCTCTCTGGCTTAAACTCATCAGGATCTTCCCAGTAATCTGGATCTCTCATCACAGCATAAACATTAACAATAAGTGATGTCTACTCCAGTACGTAAAACCCTCCGATCCTACACCCGTCTTGGGGGAACCTTGCAAAGAAAGACCCCGGTGGGTGCAGTCTTAGTACTTCTTTAACCACCGCTTGCAAATGAGGAAGTTTTGGTAGATCTGTTTCTTGAATCAATCTTGTTTTCCCTACAACCGAATCGATTTCTTCTCTCAGTCTCTCAAGAATGTTTGGCTTATTAATGATCTCCGCCATTGTCCACTGTGTTGTTTGCGCTGTGGTGTCCGTGCCCGCAAACAAAAGATCCTGCAGTTGCTAAAACGTTTCTTAGTCACAACAGTTTTGTATTATTCTCAATGAAACTACCTGATTGATGTAAGGAATGTTTACCGCGAAAAAAGACTTGATATGTAGGGGTGTCAAAATGGGTTAATACCCATGGGTTACCCGAACCCGCCCATGATTTTAGTGGGTCTGGGTAGAATTTTTTTACCAATATATATAAATGGGTTTTAGTGGGTTACCCTATTAGGATTATGGGTTTAATGGGTAAAACCCATTAGGGTCATGGGTTACCCATGAGTTTCATAACCAAAACTAAAAAGTAAAATTTATATATATCTATATTAATATATTATGTAAAATATATATAAATATATGTAAAATATCTTCTTTTTTTTACAATTATATATGTAAAATATCTAAAATAACTATGAAAGTTTACATTTTACCTAAAAATAAAAGTAAAAAGTAAAATATATGTATAATATTCAAATGTTCTTTAAATTAAGACTATTTTTTCTTTTTTTTATTTGGTTTTATGGTTCTTTGGATTTGTGGTTTTAAGATTTTAGGATGCTTTTCTATTTTAATATCTAGATTTTTTTAATTTATTATTTAAAAACTTTTGTTGGTTTACAATTTTATGTTATTTTTTTGGATTTTTATTATTTATATATTTTATTATACATATATATGGGTACCCATATAACTCATTAAGCCAATGGGTTTTTATAATAATGGGTTTGGGTATGTAAATTCAACCCATATAAATATATGGGTCGGGTCAAACCCGTCCATTAAACACTCGAACACATATGGGTTTGGGTCGGGTCGGGTCGGGTTACCCATTTTGACACCCTATTGATATGGTTCCTAGTGATCTTATACTCTGCGTTTTCGTCTTGATAAGCTACCAACAACGCGTCCATCAGTTCTGTGCCTTGATGTCCGTCTAGTTTCTCTTCATATTCCGTAAGAATCTTTTCGATCGAATCTGCTAGAAACAACCATCATTTCCTTTGTAAATAGTAAGGTTGCCAGCTTCTTAAACGGTGGGCGCAACATGCTTCCTAGTACAATCTTGTTGCCCAAGGCAATCGATTCGCTAGCCAAGCCCCTAGCTTTCTCTGCCTCGCCGTTCTCTTCTGAACAACTCCTCCCTACAATCATCTTGCAGATGATGTTGTTACTGAGCTTCATCGTTTCCTTAACGATGTCAACACTCTCCTTCTTCCTCGCTTTATCAAGCAGGCTTTCATAAAACCGCTCTAGCTCATCTGCTCGGACGCCTCTTGACCGCTCTAGTGCCTGTGATCCGAGAAGCTTTGTGACCATGAGCTTCTTCATGAACTTCCAGTGATCTCCGTAAGGAGAGAAGATGAAGCTCCAAGATCCGACAAAAAGAGAATCGTGGATGGGAGGGGAACCACGAAACGAGATATTCATATCGTGCGTCCTGAAGATCTCATAAGCAACTGAGGCTGAGGAGACGAGGACTATGGGGATGTTGAGGATGCGAAGACGGATGAGAGATCCATACTTGAAAGAGAGTTTCTGAAGAGACTTGTGGGTAAGAGTAGAAAGGAGAAGATGAAGATGACCGATAATCGGAAGAGAAGGAGGGCTCGGAGGCAGATCAAAGTCACGTCTTGAGCCGGTTGGTTTCTTGAAGAAGAGAGAGTAACAGAGGAGTGAGAAGAAACAGAGGAGTATGAAAAATAAGCAGTTTTGAAAGCCAAGGATGATCATTGCTGCAATTCTTGCCTTGCTCAAAGTGAAAAGCATATGACACATAGAATTATCTTATCAAGAATCAATCACTTGTGTTTAATTAGCACTTGAAAATGTAAATTTCTTGGAAATTTGAGGTTCCGTGCCCCCTTTGTTACCAAAATGGTAATTGCCTTACGCAATTTGGAAAAGTTTGTAAACTGATGAGGACCACAATAATTATAAATTGTTGTTTTAATTGGTTAAGTTGATTATTTTTTAACGAATATAATTAGATTGTATGTGATCTTTGGTTTCATATCATATTTGAAAATTTTCTTCAGAAAATAGCATATAAAATCATCAATATATTTTTGCATTTTGTCTACATATAAGCCCACTAATTTTCGTTCAATTTCTCATAAACCATGAAATATATCAGTAACAGTAAGCTAATTCTTAGTGTAAATTCATTTGCGTGTTCAAGTATCTAAGCAAAGTTTTAAAGAGCAAAACAACGTACCACTACCAAAATACAAAACGTGATGAATAATTCCTCATTTTGACGCTGGAGACTCTTTCAACCTTATGGCATGCACCCTCTTCTAGTTCTATGTTTCTTTGTAGTGCATATTTTTCTTATTTCTCTTTTTTTTAGACTTTAAGAGAACATAGCAAATAAATCCTCAAGGTCCAAACTTTCATAACTACATGGTATAAACTTGTGTTCACCAGTTTCTGGCCATGATTTTGGATGAATGGAGAAAACCGCAAGACATTTGTCAACATTGGAATTTTGGATGTCATTCTAATAGACATCAGAAAGCACATTTTTATATTCACAAGTTTGAACTTTAACGATCTTTGAACTTGATATCATTTGCAGATTACAAAGTCAAAGGGTTTAGGGTTCTAGCAACAGGAATGCACTTAAGGGGATGAGCCATGGTCAGGTTCAGTCCTCCAATGGCCTCTTCCATGTCAACCTTTTCTCCTTTGATTTTCCAGTCAAAGCATTGCACCATCATTCCAACCGCGGTTCCTCCAAAGATGTAACTCAGATTTACTCCCGGACAGCCTCTCCTTCCGCTTCCGAAAGGAATGTACTTAAGTGCATCTTCTTGCCCTGATTCAAAAGAAGCTAAAAACCTCTCTGGCTTAAACTCATTAGGATCTTCCCAAGAATCAGGATCTCTCATAATAGCATAAGCATTAACAACAAGTGTTGTGTTTTCTGGTATATAGAACCCTCTAATCTCACACCATTCTCTGGAGGTCCTTGCAAATAGAGGAGCTGGTGGATGTAATCTAAGCCCTTCCTTGACCACCGCTTGCAAGTAAGGAAGGTTTGGTAAATCCGTTTCTTGAATCAACCTTGTTTTCCCTACAACCGATTCGATTTCTTCTCTTAGTCTCTTTAGACAAATAGGGTTATTAATGATCTCGGCCATTGTCCACTGTGTACTCTGCCCTGAACTGTCAGTGCCTGCAATGAAAAGTTCCTGCACTGTTGAAAACAACATCTCTTAGTCAAGATTATTACTTTGAATTCTTAATGAGAAGAAGAAACATTTACCATGAAAAAAGACTTTATATGATTCCTAGTTATCTTATACTCTGCATTTTCATCGCGAAAAGCTGCCAACAATACGTCCATCATGTCTCCACCCTGATGCTCATTTGGCTTCTCTTCTCCGTGTTCTCCAAGAATCCTCTCTAGCAGCTCGTCGAATCTACGGGAAGAACTCAATATTTCCTTTTTAAATAGTGAGATTCCAAGCTTCTCGAGCGGCCTACGAAGCAATGTTGCCAAGAAGATTTTCTTAAACAAGGCAAATGACTCTGTAACCAAACCCCTGACTCTCTCTGCCTCACTGTTCTCTTCCTCACAACAACTTCTTCCCATGCTCATCTTCCAAATGCAGTTGTTACTAAACTTCATCGATTCTTTACCGATCTCAACGCTCTCATTCTTCATCGCCTTATCAAGCAAGCTTGCATAAAACCACTCAAGCTCATTTTTACGGATGACTCGTGACCGTTCGAGTGCTTGGGAGCCGAGCAGGTTCGTGACGATGAGCTTCCTCATGAACTTCCAGTAATCTCCATAAGGAGCCATGAGGAAGGTGGAAGATCCGAACAAGAGGGACTCATCTATGGGAGGGATGCCACGGAACGAGATGTTCACGTCATGTGTCTTGAAGATCTCATAGGCTATCGAGGAAAAGGAGACAAGGACTATGGGGACATTGAAGATGCGGAGATAGAGTAATGGTCCGTACTTGAAGGAGAGTTTCTGAAAGGACTTGTGGATTAGAACAGAGAGAATAAGGTGAAAATGACCAATGATGGGCAGAGAAGGAGGGCTCGGAGGCAAGTTAAAGCCATACTTAGGTTTCTTGAAGAAGAGATAGTAACAGAGAAGTGAGAAGAGACATAAGAGAATGAAGATGAAGCAGTTTTGAGAGTCAACGATGATCATTGTTGCTGCTCAAAAGTGAAGATGAGGTTGATGGAAACAAGAGGAATCCGTAATCAGTAATCAATCAGGATTGCTTATAACAGAGGAAAATGTATTATCTTCCTAGCGAAACTCTCGTGATCTTCCTGGAATGACAATTATGGTGGCAAGTGTGGTCCAAAATTCTATCCATCTAAATGGATAAAGAAACACAGTATATTAATAGAATATTTGAGCCAATTATTTCCACATGTTCATACCATTTTTGGTTTTTGTATGTTTGTTGTTTTATAAACTCAACTAGATCATCATCGGTACTATAGTACGGGTTAAATTTCATTTATTACAAAATTAATAATTTTTTTGTTTTAGAATAAAATTGTGATATTATTATATAAAGTATGGTTTTCAAAGTTAATAACTCGCATGATCGTGACACGTGTCAAGTCTATCGATCAGATGTTGACATATGTCAAAAAATATTTAACTTTCTTCATTAACGAAATAGGAAAACTAAAAAAAAAAGAATATTTACATATACTAATTTATATATCTAACTCGCATGATCGTGACACATGTCAAGTCTATCGATCAGATGTTGACATATGTCAAAAAATATTTAACTTTCTTCATTAACGAAATAGGAAAACTAAAAAAAAAAAGAATATTTACATATACTAATTTATATATCTAATTTTAAAAATTTGTTAACTTTATTTTTCATAACCAAAAAATAAAACTAACAATTTCTCTTCACATGTGTTATTGGTCAATTAAATTTGGCATGTGTTAATTGTTTTCTATAAAATCATTTAGTATGGATATTAACAAATAAATAATAACGGTTGAAGTTTTAAATAACAATACAAGTTATTTAACATTAATTTAATTGGATAAAATTGTATTTATCATCGTAATATAGTGTTTTTATTCGTCAAATGAAAACACAAAGTTTTTACAAAAAATAATGAGCTTATAAAAACGAACGAATATTTGAATATTTGATAAGAAAATTAGTGTGGTTATACTTAATTTTATTTTAAGAATTTTAGTGCATGTAGTCATAATTATAAACTAAAAATATTTGGGGAAATGGCTTATATGAATGAATTTTTGATTACTTAACGAGAATGTTAATATATATATTTTTAATGATTTATTTATTAATTTTAACTTATTTAAAATTAGTTTGCCATGAGGTAAAACTAACTTATGAGATTACGTTATATAGAAAGCTATATTTTAAACAATGTTTGTTTTCCATAACTTTTGTGGATTTCTATTTTTTATTAAATGTTTGTTATTTGTTAATTATATTTAAATTTTTAATATTAACTAAGATATAAATTTGATATGATATATATACGATTTGGATACAAAATTATTATTAGCCGTTTATCCATTAAGATGAACTATGAAGATTTAAAATCAAGTTTATTGTGATGTTATAAATAGTTAAATTATATTGCAAAATGGAGTGTGTAAGATTAAAATTTTTTTTATTAAAAAATACTAAATTAAATATAGAAAATGTGTGTTGGTTACTATTTAGGATTTGAAATATCATCAATACGAAAGAGTATGTAGAATTAAAATTCAGTTTATTACGATGAAATAAATAGTTAAAATGTATAGAAAAATGGAATGTGTAAGATTTAATTTTTATTTAAAACAAAAAATACTAAATTATTAAATATTAGGGAAAGTGAATGGATTACTATATTAATCAAAATTCAAATATCATCGATAACAATTTATATTTATATATTATACCCGCCTATTTAGGCGGGCCTTATCTAGTATATTATAATAGTAAGTGAAAAAATAATATATTTTTTGTCAATCCCTATATATAATATTAGAATGAATATATTTTCTTTTTTCTATAGTGATTGCTCGAGTAATTACTCAATACACTTAACCGTTAGGCAGTATATTCGAGGTCGATCCACAAGGACCAAAGATACTCTAAGGATTTCCGAGACTTGTTCTTAGCTAAAACTAAAAAGATTGCTTGTTCGGGTTTTCAGTTTGTAAAATAAAAATGCAAATTAATTAAACGATTTAACTTCAAGATTTAAAGACATTGGGCGTTAGGGTATTTCAGAGATCAACGAATAATGGAAACATGAAACCAGGAATTCAGTAATTAAGAACCGTTCTCGAACATGAACACATTTAAACCAATTCTCTTTCAAGACATTAATCACTAAATTTGACTATTCGATTACTAAACTTTCGCATGCAATTTCCTAGTCAAATTCGCATTACCAAACAAGTTCATTAAGTTCACAATGCGTCCTAACGTCAACTTTCGTTGGCTAGAAATACATTGCTCAATCCATATTCTTTCAGGCATTTTATCGAACACTTTTGATGCATATAAAAACCTAGAAATCTACAACAGGGTGATCAATCCTATTCTAGCATTAAGAAGCATGTGAATCAAAGAACCTAGAGAATGAAAATTCCTAACACAATCAATCCATTAATCCATTGAATCTCCTAATTGGAACCCTAAAACCCAATTGGAGAACTACTCACACATAGAGAAAGAGAAAAGGCAAATAGATATGAAAGAAAACATGATTCAATAAAATAGAAAAGGAATAGGGTTTAGAAATCTTCTCCAAGTGTCAAGAGGATGGATTCCTTTGCCCAAAGTTGTTTACAAACCAAAGAACCAAGTTTAGAACTCAAAAATATCAAAGATAATGTGTAAAGAGTCGAGCATAGGGTTTTAAAACAATAGGAAACGAGCCGGGTCGGATCTGGAGTGAATCGGGTCAATTCTGGGCCAAAAGTACGTCTCGGGAAGGGATCGATCGATCCGGTGGGTGGATCGACCGATCCCGAGTCACTGGAAACTGCTTCTCGTCCGTCAGAGGATGGGATCGATCGATCCACAAGTGGATCGATCGATCTGAATCTTCTGGTCTCCAACTCCGCAACTGCTTCAAATGCTCGGCAGAATGACCTGTCTTCACTAATTCAGGTATAACTCTTGAATGCACAGTTGGATTTCCTTCAAACCACTTGTAAACTCAAGATAACATCTTCATCTAACTTGTGTCAAAAATGCAGAAAGATCTAACGGTGGGAAGTATTCCATCTGAGGAAAAACGTCTGACATTTCTAAACGAAACTGCATCTCCAAAAGTGTGTTTATACCCCAAAACAGCTCGTTTTCCTCCGAAGCAACCTAAAACCTGTAGAGACTCGATAAACGACTAAAAGACTCTAAAAACACACTTTGACTCGATAAAACATATGATGTACGAAAGAAAACAAAGACTCAAAACCG